AAATACATGCAGACGTGTGTCAGACATGAATCTGCAAGAAAACTCATTCACAGAAATAAACAACTGAAACACATTTATTAAGTTAGAAAATATAAATAAAACAAAGATGTCTATAAATTAACATTCTTCATTTCAAGTGTTTGAGGAAACAGTTTAAACAACTCTCTCGTCGTCTCTTCAGCTCCGGCCGCCGTCTTAAATCTTCATATTCGACACGCGGACGAGACCTCGCTCAGCGCCATGTGGAGCCACGCCCCATCCGGGTCCCGTGACAGCTACTTCCTCACTATTCGCCATGGTAACCATGAGAGTCAGATCCATCAAACCGATGAAACGAAGCTGCGATGTGATTTCTCTTTATCCGTCCACTAAAATGATTTCATCCTGCGTCACATAGATAACGTCACCGTGGATACCAGAGAGGTGGAGCCTAACATGAGGGAGTGCACGTTCAACGTGCTCACGCCTGGGAGACGGTACTCCATCACCGTGGCAACCAGGAGCGTGAACCTGAACACGTCTGTGTCTGTGGAGGGAAGCACCGGTGAGGGGCCGTAGAGGTGGTATTTAATGAGAAAGAAAATCTATTTGTATATTAACTGTGTGTGTGTGTGTGTGTGTGTGTGTGTGTTGCAGTTCCCATGGCGTTGCGTACCATCACTCTGAGTAGCTCAGGAGTCGACAGCCTCCAGGCATCATGGGAAAAACCACCAGGAGACGTGGACTCGTACACACTGACCCTGCTGCACGACAGGTGTGTGCTGTGTAGCTTAGCACAAACACTGGGAGCAGATGGAAACTGTTAGCCAAATGACGTGGTGATGGAAACTAAACATTGTGTTTGTCCTCCTCAGTGTCGTCGTGCAGAACCTCAGTGTTTCTGTCACTTCCTCCTCTCTGCTGCTGACTGGGTTAATGCCCGGCGCCCTCTACAGGCTGCAGGCTGCTGCTGTCAGCGGGGGACTGAGGTCGAAACCCACCAGTCTGGACGGACGCACGGGTGAGAAAACATCATCGACACAAAACTCTACAAATATGAGCAGTTTACAGACACAGGTCACAGCTGCAGGTGTCGTCACTCTACAGAAATATATCATCATATTAAATGTATATATAATTATACAGAAGAAGTTTGTATTCACCAGTTAATATCTTTTATTTTAGTGTTTCATAAACAGAAAACAACACAAACTCACTCACTCCTCAGTTATAAAAGACACTGTGAATGGAAATATAAATTATATAAAGGAAATAAATGAAATATGATCAATTAAAAATGAAGACTTTAATTTTCACATTTTACATTTTGTCATCGTTATTATTGTGTGTCAGTAAAAGTGTATTACTGATCACATCAGAGAGGTTTTAGAACAATAGCTGAGATACGTCTGGAATGTTCCACACACACAGAAACGCCCCGCTCAAAGGCTTCCTGCACACACACACACACACACACACACACACACACACACACACACACACACTCACACACACACACACACACTCACACACACTCACCTTCCTGCTCAGAGCACCGATTGTGCTCTCACAGAATATCCCAGTTATTTTCAGGACAGACTGTGTGTGTGTGTGTGTGTGTGTGTGTGTGTTGTGTGTTGTGTGTGTGTGTGTTTTGGACAAAACAACCCTGACCCCAGCTTCCTCCTTCTATCGCTCGATAACTATAATTAAAGTCTCAGGCGTTTGTGTTGCTGCCAGTTTGTTTCAGTGGCCATTAATGGTATTGCAGCATAAAAAGATTCCCTGGGTCACTTTTAGAAAAGAAAAGACGTCAAACATCAAACAACTGAAAACACTTTTTCTTTCTTTCAGCCCCAACATCCGTCTCCGAGGTAACCGCTGCTAATGGCGGCAGGTCTGACGCTCTGCAGGTGTCGTGGCGTCCGGCGCTGGGCATGGTGGACAGTTACCTGGTCCATCTTCAGGACGGCAGGAGAACCGTCCACACGCTCGCTGTGTCGCAGTCCTCGCCGCCCGAGTGCTCCTTCAGCTCGCTGGTTGCCGGGCGACTATACACGGTTGTCATCAAAACGAGGAGCGGCGGCCTGGAGAACGCCACCTCAATTCAAGCACGAACACGTAAAGAGCAAAAACATTTACTCATATTTTACATTTACGTCATCTATTTATATTTACATTTATTTCCTGTGATGAACATTTATATTTCAACATATGAAGTAAGGTTGTATTTGACATATTTGTAGTTTTACTTGAATTTAAAGTTTCCCGTCACAAGTTACAGTTAAACAATAAAACACATCTTGCAGCGATGATGAAATGAAATGTTTAGTTTTTAATCATTCTCAGTATTTTATTCAGTTTTCTTGTTTGTTGCAGAACCTGCGACTGTTCAGAACCCGACAGCTGTTCACTCTGCACGAGATGATTTTCTCAAGGTGCATTTCTCAATACTTCAAATATCAGTTTCATATTAAACTGTTGTTTCTTTACTTTTCAACATCAGATTTTTTAATGTTTGTCAATTTTTTTACTTAAAAACCAAACGTCTGTGTTTTATTAGAAAAAGACTTAAATACTTCTTTCAGACAGTAATGATCCATCAACAAACAATATTCAAATACAACCACGCAGACATACCGATAAATAATAAGAATGAATGATGTTCTATAATAATGCTGCTGTGTTGTGTTCAGGTGTACTGGCGTCACGCAGCAGGAGACCTGGATCGCTACGTGGTTCTGATCCGGTACAACCACAGCGTCCTGCAGAACAAAAGCGTCTCCGCAGGACACAACGAGTGCGTCTTCTCGTCCCTGACGCCGGGGAGACTCTACACCGTCACCGTGGAAACCTGGAGCGGGAGCTACGTCAGCAGCGTCTCGACTGACGGACGAACCTGTGAGTCACAAACCAGGGAAACAAACATCACACGTAGAAAACACGTGTTTGTTTATTCGCATTTTTTGGAAGATTTCGAGCAAACGTCTGTTTTTCTTCAGTTCCAGCAGCTGTAGGAAATCTGTCGCTAGGCAACGCGGGAACAGGTGATCTGACGGTCACCTGGAGCCCCGCCCCCGGAGATGTCGACCATTATGAGGTACAAATAAGTAAAGAAGATATTTTCGCACTTTTATGAAACTATTTTATTTTATTATAATAATTGTTTAACTTTATCACCTCGACCTTAAATCTAAACCTTGAAGTGTCTGTTCGGGGGTGTAGTAGATGTTTGAGGCTCTAGGAGGCGCTAGTGAATCTGCATGATTTCAATATTGTTCTTAAATCTGAACTCTTCCTGTCTCCAGGTCACTTTGCTCTTCAACGACACGCGGGTTTTCCCTCCGGTGACGCTGGGCAGTGACGTGCGGCGCCACCAGCTGACCTCCCTGACCCCCGGGCGTCTCTATAAGATGGTGGTGTCCACATTCAGCGGACCGAACCAGAGAGCCCAGTTCATCGAGGGACGGACAGGTAGGAATGTTCTGTGACATTCATGGTTCACGTCTGTCTTCATGAATCCTGACTCTCGTCCTCTCGTCCTCTCGTCCTCTCGTCCTTCAGTTCCCAGTCCGGTGGGAAACCTCCACATGACTCCTCGACCTGGACTGAAGGACTCTGTCGGTGGACTCCTGGTCTCCTGGACACCTGGAGATGGAGACATGGACATGTACATCGTCTCTCTGTCAACTATGGTCAGTCTGTGAATTCAGATTTTTCATAGAGGTTCTACAAAATATAACGATGTCTTTAAAAAACTTGAAACAAAAGTATGTGAATCAATTTAAACAGTTTTAATATGGAAATTTAAAATGACCTCAGGATGGCGTCCTTGTCGAGACGCGTCCTGTCCCCAAACACGTCTCCTCCCTGGACTTCCTGGACCTGATCCCAGGCCACGCCTACACCATCACCGTCCAATCACTGAGCGGGAAGCTGAGCAACACCAAGTCAGCCTCTGGCAGGACGGGTACGAGCGATCGACCGATGTTTGATTCTGACTCGTTAATAAAATGTTGATATTCATCGTGGTGCGTCCGCTCCTCCAGCTCCCGCCAGCGTCACGGCCCTGCAGGCCGACAACGACCACACCACCCACAGCCTCACCGTCACCTGGGAGAGGCCGGTGGGCGTGTACGACGGCTACAGTCTGCAGCTACTGGACGAGGCCGGCGTCATCGTGGCCAACCGGTCGGTGCCCGTGGCGAGTCGAAGCGAGCGGCTGGAGGGTCTGACCTCAGGGAGGCGCTATGGTGTGAGGGTGGTGACGCTGAGTGGAGGGGTCCCGTCTCTGGAGGCCACAGCAGAGGGACAAACACGTGAGTCACTGTTTGGTCTCTTTCTGTCTCCAGTGGTGTCAGGATGATTTATTAAGTAACTCAGGCAGAGAGGAGGACGGAGACAAAGACTCGAGGACAAAAGGGTTTTCACAGTGACTCTGCAAAAAAAGGGAAGGAAAGAAAAATGAACGTGAAACTTAATAACGACCAAAAGACAGAATGTGTTTGTCTCATTTGTCATTTTGTTTATTTAACATTTAAGGTTTTAGCTCCGTCAGCCTCAGATGCTCTCGACCAAAAGAATGAATGGAATAAACAAATGTGTCGTGTGATTCGTTGTCATTGAGAAAAGCTTAAACTTAAAGACTTTCGCTGTCCGTCCTCCAGGTCCAGCTGCCGTCAGCAACCTGACCGTCACCTCGGCCAACACGTCCTCTCTCTCCTTCACCTGGCGTCCCTCAGACGGCCACGTGGAAATCTACGACCTGTCTCTGTACAGCATCGCTGAGGCAACAGCCAATCACGGACAGGATGCTGCAGGGAGACGAAAGGGGAAAACCCAGGTGGGAGGAGCTAGAAGGTTTCTATAAATAGTGACACCTAGTGGCTGAAGGCACTAAAGTTGTCAGGTCGTCCCGGCTGTTCGATTCCTGTGAACACCATATCTCAAAAAAAATTTTTTAATTCAGTGCAAACGTTGAGCTGGACTCAGAGATGAAGCGGTCGGTCGGTATTCTGGGTTTGTTATTCATCACAGTTCAACCACAGACTGAACGACTGACGTGTTGTGTTCAGGGTGTCGGTGAACTGGTGGACCTGCAGAAAGTCGGCTCGGCCGCGGACAGCTGTTCCTTCTCCGGACTCGGAGCAGGACGTTTGTACCGACTGCAGGTGGTGAGCTGGAGCAGAGGAATGAGCAGCGACTCGTCCGTACTCGCCAGAACTGGTCAGTTAGTAAAAGATCGATATTACTATTGATTTATAAAGTACAGACATTTTTAAACGTATCTGTCTTTGTCTTCTTTCTTTAAAACCTTCTGTTCGTTTACCTTTGAATCTCCATCACATTCGTCTCTGTCCTACTCTGTCCATGTTTTCTCTTCTTCTTCTGCATCATCTTCATCTTTCTTTCCTGGTTTTTCTCACCATCGTCTTCCTCTCTGTTCCACAGTCCCGTCCCAGGTTTCGTCTCTCCAGGTTCAGAGTTCAGGACGGACGGACAGACTGACGGTCAGCTGGCAGCACGCTGAGGGGAGCTGGAGCAGCTACCAGGTGAGCGCCCAGGTTTTCTTTACGTAGTTATACCTTAGATTAAATAAATTACTAGATGTTACATATTTTGATTTAAAAGTTTTTCGAGTAGGTTGACAGTTTGAAGTATTAGTTTGTCTGACGTAGCATCAGTGCTGAATCTTTGGTATGCGATTGTTTTCGTGTGATCTCAGGTCGTTCTGTACGATGTTTCTGGAGCCACTCTGGGTGCTCAGACGCTGGGGGCGGAGCACAGGAGTCACATGTTCCCAGGGCTGATCCCTGGTAGGCTGTACCGCGCTGAGGTCATCACGCACAGCGGGGAACTGACCAATAAAGTCTCCGTTTCTGGACGCACCTGTAAGTTGAGCATGAACTAAAGATTCAGTGTTTTTAATCGTAGTAGTATTTTTGTTTGCGATCATAATTTTTGTATTTTCTCCTTCCAGCTCCACTGCCACCCACCCACCTGTCCGTCAAACAAGGTGCAATCAATGAGACTGTAGAGCTGTCGTGGTTTGGTCCCGCCTCTGGGGACTACGATAACTTCAGCCTTCAGTGGACTCCTCCTGATCACCTGTCAATCACACACACCCACCTGACCGGGTGCGTGGTGGGCGGGATGTTTCCAGGGCGACAGTACAACTTCACCGTGATGACCGTGAGCGGGGGCAGGGGTGGGCTCACAGTCAGGAGCCAGCCTATCCAGAGGAGCGTCAGAACAAGTAGGCGGCACTTTTAATTTGAATAAATCTTTATTTATATAGAACTTCTCAACACAAAGTCACAAAGTGCTTCACAATAAAAGTGTGAACATACATTAAAAAGACATTAAGACTAGAATTAGTTCAAATCAGGGAATGAGGAACAATAAAAGTACATTTTAAGCTTTGATTCAAAGGAAGCTGCTGACTCAGTCTGTTTCAGTTGTTTCCATCTTTTACCCACTAGGTGGCAGCATAACAAAGGGTTTGAATCTGAAATGAGATCAGACTCTGGAATCTTTAATCACAACTTCCTCAATATGAATGATTTAATCATGATTTTCAATCTTCACTGTTATATCATTTGTAATATTGAGGTTATAGAAAGAAGAAGTTTAAATACTCGACGTTTATCTTTTTACTTTCGACCACAGATTTGTCCTGAGAGCAGATTTTATCTTCACTTCTCCGAGGATGAAAAATATTTTCCTCTTTCTCGTTTCTCTTCGATATTTATCTTCGATAACAGAGACGTGTTTTTATCGTCTGATCGGATCACATGACCAGACTCATCGCTCAGACGCTCTGAGCTCGTTGGTTTGAACAAATGTTTTGACCTTCATGTGGAAAATAAAGACGGTGACCCAGCTACAGGAAAAATAGAGGAATGAAAAAATGTAATGTTCGTGCTGAAAATGAATTCGATTAACTCTTCCTCTTTTCCTCTCCCACATCTCCTCTCTTATTCTCTGCTTCTTCCCCCTTTTCCTTTTTCCTCTCGCTTATCTTCTCTCTTCGTTTTCTTCATCCCCGTCCTTCTCCTCTTCACCTCCTTTGTCTCTATCCTCTCCTTTCCTACTTCTTCTCCTCCTCCAGGGCCGTCTCCTCTCAGGTTCATCCACTGCTTCCCTCTCTCGTCGTCCTCTCTCTCCTGCTCCTGGTCGCCTCCTCTCTCTGACTTCGACTCCTACGAGGTCGAGTGTCGTCGTCACGACAGCGGGGAGCTGACCTCTGCTCTGAGGCTGGATGAGGGCGTCACCGCGGTAACGCTGGACCACCTGGAGGCATACAGGAAGTACACGGTGACAGTCAGAGTGTCGTCAGCCGGACACACGAGTCTGCCAGTGACACACACCACTGTCACCATGATAGACTGTGAGTTAACACACACACACACACACACACACACACACACTCCGGTGCAGTAGAAGATTGTGGTGTTTGAATAAAACCTGTTTAAATAGAACTGATCTCTAGAGACACAGAGAACATCCAGATCAGATTTATTTATAAATGAAACTTTAACTACATTTCCTCCAGACTCATGAGGTCACTGTGACACTCATGAAGATTCACTTTATTCAAACTTAAGTTTCTCTTTCTTCCTTCATTTTGTTTCCTGCCCTTTTTACAAAAAGTCACTGTGACCTAAAACCCTCGAAAACCTCTTCCTCTCTTTTGCTACTTCTCCTCCTTTATCATCCATGTCTCCTCTCTACCTCCCTCTCTCTACCTCCCTCCCTCTCTCTGCCTGTGTTACTTTATAAATCATCCTGACACGACTAGAAACAGAACGACAAGGCAAAGAAAAGCAACGTGAGTCATATGTCATTTTTTCATGATGTTGGACGCCATGTTGTTTTTTCGTGATTTCGGAAGTCATGTACATAGTAAAGTATGACTTCCAGAATCAGGAAAAAAAACGAGATAGTAAAGTATGATTACGATTTTTGAAGTCATACTTTACTATGTCGCTTTTTCGTGATTTCAGACGCTTTTTTTTTTTTTATGATTTTCGTGGTCATGGTGTTTTCCCATGATTTGTATAGCCATGATGTTTTTTCAGGATTTTCAAATTCTTGTAGTTTTTCCCATGATTTTCGTAGTCATGACGTTCTTCCATGATTTCGGACGCTTTTTTTCAGGATTTCGGAAGTCATCTCGTTTTTTTTCCTGATTTCGGAAGTCATAGTTTACTTTGTCGTTTTTTCAGGATTTCGGAAGTCATGTTGTTTTTTCAGGATTTCGGAAGTCAGGTTACTTTGTCGTTTTTTTTCAGGATTTCGGAAGTCAGGTTACTTTGTCGTTTTTTTCAAGATTTTGGAAGTCATACTTTACTATGT